AAGGAGAAGTTCAAATAATGCCCCAAATTACCTATTCCCTTGTTTCAAAAATATTTTAATATATATGCTAATTTCTTTCATTCATACTACTAGTTTTTCTTCATTGAAAAGTTTCTTGCTAATATCTGTTTCTTCTTTGTAAGAGAGAATCCTTTTTGTCTATGTCTCGTACCCTGTGTAATTTAAAAGATAATGATACACAGTGTATTAACTATTTTTATTCTCTTATCATTGTTATAAAACTTTTATTTTTCATAAAATAAACAAAAACAGATTCAGAAAGAACAAGTTAGCTTTTCTGAATATGAATGCACTTTATCAAAGTTCTCTGTATTTTTAAATAATTTAGAAATTAATTTAAATTAGCTATACTTTATTTTAAAAAGTGGTAGTTGATTGCTATCATGTAAGTACTCATTACATAGCCACAAGACATGGATTTTTGGGTAGATTGTCTACAGGAATCTTTTAAAAAGACATACATATGTACAGCTCCCACGCAAATTCTCTTGCCAATGCTCCATTGTGTAAGGAGGTGTTTACAGAAACCTCAGCAACTGCAAGAGTGGATTCTGCTTCATTAAAAAAAAAAAAAAAAACTATCAATTTTCAAAGTTCTTTTCTCCATAAACTTAACACACAATGCATGTAATAAATCTTCAGTTCACTTCCTGGCATTTTTAAATATATATTTATTGGTACATTTTACGTATACAATACATTTACATTTATCATTGGGTGCTTGTACCTGTACATGACGTATCTTAGTTCTTATTTTTCCCCCATTACCTGTGCGCCCTTCACCCCCACCACCCCTCCCTATTTACATAGACTTTGTTTCCATTTTTTTTTTCTTTCACATAATTTTTCCAAGAGATCAACTTTTTTTTTTTTTGGTACCGGGGATCTAACTTGGGACCTTGCACTTGCAAGGCAGGCACCGGAACCACTGAGCTAAATCCCCAGCCCTCCCATCATTCTTGATAGTTACACATGTGCTGCCTTAACAAAGATTATAGAACAGGGCATTTGATGCCTCTTACTCACCGTATAGTCACTTACTTGGTCACTCCCTATGGAAGACCATGCGTGGACATCAGCCCTATAAAGATCCTATTACAACAGCCCTGATTAATCACCAAGGAAAGGAGAAATAGATGAGGGGGAAACTATGAGTAAGAGAAAAATAAAAATATTTTAAATTCCCAAGCTCTGTCTATCTATATTACATGTAAGTCTTAAGCATTTTTTGAAATTTGTCTCAGGGGGCCGGGGATTTAGCTCAGTGGTTTCGCCGCCTGCTGCGCAAGTGAGAGGACCCCAGTTCGATCCCCTGTACCAAAAGGAAAAAAAAAAAGAAAAAAAAGAAATTTGTCTCATATCAGTAGGTTGATTGCTTTATAAATAAGATGTAGCATTTTCCCTTTTGGTTATTTCACAGTACAAACACAGCAATAGAGGTATACATTAAAAGCATACAAGTAGCACATCTTCACACTGAACAGCAGAAATGGTAAACAAAGCATAAACCTAATAAAATCATACATAAGAATAAGTCAAAGATCAGGCAACTTTAATACGATGGGTAGTAAGTCATAAAAACTGAATAAACAGAAAGGTTTCAGGAAGCAAACTATCACTTCTCTTCCAGTAAGCTAACACTTGCTGGGAAGCTGATATTGAGGATAATTTTACAACAGAAATAAAAGACTTGATAAAGCGAGGAATGGGAGCTTCTTTCATATGAAGGACATACTGAGGAACAAAGATTAAAGCAGGAAGTCAGCAAGAATCAAGAAGGACACTAACGTAGTCAAAATGAGTAAATGAAAGCATTTGGGGAGGAGGCTGAGAATTTCCACCTCATCTGTGGGATATAAAATGCAGTCCCTATGGGCTGGCAGGTAACAACAACAACAAAAAAAAATCTAAAAAACAAATCCCTGGATAAGGTGGCACTGAATCAGTGGAGTTCAAATATGTGCCAAAGTCCATGTGAAAGAACTAGAAGTGAAGTACTGTTGTGTTACATGCCAGGTGGTTTAAGAAAAATGATCAAGAGGGAAGGGCCAGGTTTTGTCAAAAGCCTGGATGACAGGAAAGAATGAAAATACACACAACCAGATACAGACAGACAGAATGTCTTCTTGCCAGACAGAAGTGATATAGCAGGCATTCCTGCCAACAGGACAGCAGTAAGAGGTAGATTTGGAAGTGCCAAATATCTGTTTTTCATAAAAATTTAGTGTGAACTGGTAATGAGTTTTCCTACCCCTTCTTCAGGAAAAAAAAACAAAGAACTACATGAATGAAGAAATACGTACTGATTGTCCTCTCTGTACAGTGTATTATATTAGATATAAATGAAACCATAGTTATCCCAGGAGCAGAAATGATTATTCCAATTTAATGATGTAGAAGTAAAGAAGCGAGAAGAAAATACCTTTAATTCAAACTAATGAACCAGAAAAATATTTTGATTACAGAGTTAGAAGAGATGTATTCTAATCAGAATTGGACTAATCTAAACTTTTTTGCACATTATGACTTAGATTTACACTGTTAAACAAGAGGGGTGAAATTCAGTAAGTGGTATTTCTTCAGAGTTTGAAATTCTCTGGTGATCTTAAGTCATTCCACTTTGGAAATTTTATTAATTTGTTTAGGTGAATCTAGGTTATATGCAAGTAACTACGACTTTACTGCTTGCATTTCTCACTGTGCCTGGTGCACCTAGTGATCTGACACCCGGGCTGATTTCGTATTTACCTAAAGATTTAGGATTTTCCTTAGCTAGATTTGCTTTCTAAGTAATGACCTCAACCAGGCAACTCCTACTATATCCACTTTGGCCATTTGGCATATAGAATATATGTATCTCCAAATCAACTCATTTTATTCTTCTAAATTCATTGTTTTACTTGTGTCCCCCCTTCCTTGTTCTTTTGTTATATTTTAAATCTAACTGAAACATTTTAATAGTTCTTCTGTTTGTTGATACTAATAGATTGTGCTTTAAGACAACCTACCCAAAGCTACAGCTTATACAAATACAGTATAGCAGCATATTTAAAGTGTTAACTCATTAAAATAATTAACCAGTTTCCTTTCCTTTACCAAGATGCTTTTGTTAGTTTTCTTCTGCCTCTCCATAATGCTTTAACAATGATGAAAAATTTATCACTATAGCATAGGCTAATAATCCCCTACCGGTTCTGATTGCAACTGAAAGGTTTAAAACTGCGGGAAATGACTAAAGCTCCCACTCGTGAGAACTGAAAAGAAATAATCCACAAATTAAAAGCACTGATGTAGCTAATGCTACTAAATAACTAGTTTTCCATTCTACCTACTTGCTGTTCAGTGATGGAAATTTAACTGTTGCCCGAAGTGTGGTCAACTGGTAATAAGAAAACACAGGTGACCTAACCCCGAAGAATCATACCAGCCATAAAACTAGGCAGACTATTCATCACCATGGTAATAACTCTCCAAACAGACACAGAAGCCGATTCACAGACTCTATTTTGAAAGCAGGGGGTGCTTCGGGTGTGTGCATATATATAATTTACAGAGTGTCCTGTGCCAAACTAACAGCAATCCAAGAGATGAAGCATAGAGAAACTACAGCAGCGGCCCTTTAACAACAGTGGGTCTTGATGCATTAAAGGTAAGCTGTGTGAGAAACCCAAAGCATAAATAAGGAGCAAAAATAGAGGATAGATGTTAAAAAGTAGGAAGAGCTTTTTCCTAATGGGAAAATGGGAGGGGGAGTGAGAAATGGGGAGGGGGAGGGGAGGAAGGTGAAAGGCACTTAAAGAAAAAAAGAATTGGTGGAAATATAGTTTTTACATATGGGGAGGGGAAAGGGAGTGGAAGAAGCGGAGGGGAATGGGACAAAAAAAAGAAGTGAGATGTTTTATGTACATGTACAAAACCCCCATGATGAATATGATCATTATGTACTGTGCACATGTACTAATAAAACTTTTTTAAAAATTAAAAAAAGTAACCATTTCCTCACCACAAAGAATCTTGAGTTAACAAACATAGTAACAAGTCACTGGGGAAACACCTTCCCCAGCACTGATTGATTACTTGAAGGGTCAGACATTGCACCATACCAAATCTATTTGAGGAGGGTACGTATCTTCTGCGTGAAAATACAAAGTCTGCAAATACAGATTGTGTTACTCACATTTCAGCCCAATATCTATGCTTTGTAACTTTACTTTGAATACAAGAGAACATCGCATACCTGAGATTTCAATAAACAGAATGCATTCACTTCAGAGATGCTATTTCCAAAAATATCTAAAGCACAATATATTTTGATACCAAGCTTTGATAGCAAAATATTCAAGTAAATCAAAATGTGCTAAGAGGCACAATTAAAATAAAAAGAAATGTCACAGACTGGAAGAAAATATTTGCAAGTCATATTTCCTTTACCATCCCTTGCAATATGGTGTACATGGTGTGAACACAAAATAAGGTGAATGGTTCCATTTTTTAAAGAAGTTATTACAGTAAAAGATGCATTGCCCTTAATCCACCTCAAAATATTCCCTTCCCTTCAAACCCACTTCTCCCATCATTCCTGCCGCTTTCTGAAACAGTTCTGGAAGCCCTCTGTCTTGTTTTTATGAGGCATGACAAAAAATACAGTGAATGGCACTGGTTGAGTGAAATCCAGTGGAAAGGCTGGATCACAAAACATCACAGCGAGTGCTCGCCAACCTTATTTCACAGGTCTGGCACCGTGCAACTCCTGGTTCTTTCCCAAAGTCAAAATAACTGTAAAAGGCAAACATTTTGAATGGATTCAAGGTACCAAGGCAGCCAAGAGAGGTAATTAATGACACAAAAAAGAACCTTCACAGCTGTCTCAGAAAGTGGCAAGAAAGATGGGGTGTGTTTGAAGTAGGGGGAATATTTTGAGACGGATTAGTGGCAGTGTGTCTTTTACTATAATAAATTTTAATTTAAATATTCACCATATATTTTGACCATGCCTTCTACCTGTGACAAATTCTCAATTGTGTTGTCATCATCATTGTTTTGTCTGAGAAAGTCTGTGTTTCTCCTTCACTTTTGAATAATAATTTTGCTGGATACAGAATTCTGGTGATTTTCTGCTTTCATCTTCCTACACTTTAAATATTTAACTATAGTCTTTTTTTGGAGGAGGGACAAGGTTCCTGAAGAGATATTCAATATTAATTCTTACCCTTGTTTCTCTAAAAGTAAGAGGACAGTTTCTGTCCCCTCTGGCTTCTTTCAAGATCTTCTCTTGGTCTTTGGACTTCTGTTCTATGAAGAAGATATGTCAGCTACAGATTTGGTGCTCGGTGTCTCTCCTTAATTATGGAAAACACTCAGCCACTTTTATTTCAAATATTTCTTTTAATCCTTTTCTTTTCCTTATGGTATTACAGTCCCATGATGTACACATTATACCCTCTGTGGTTGTGGCTAAGTTCTAACATGCTATGTTGCATTTTTTTTTTCATTCTTCTCTCTCTTTACTTTTTAGTTTGGAAAGCCTCTATTCACCTGTCCCAGAGCTGGAAGATTCTTTCTTTGGCCCCATCGACTGACTGGTGGCTTCAAAGGAATCCAAAGCAACTTGCATTTCTGTTAGAGAGGTTTTCTGTGTATGTGTGTGGGGGTGGGGGGGGGGATCCTTGGTTTTGTTGTTTTATTGTTTTTTCTGAGACTGCTTTAGTTGTGACTCACACGTTTTAGTGTAAGGTTTTAATTTTCACTTGGTTAAATATATTTATTTCTCTTGAGACATCTTCTTTATCCTATGAATTATTTAGAGGCATGCTGGTTACTTTCTAAATGTTTGGAGATTCATTACATTTCTGTTATTGGTTTACAATGCGATTCCATCATGTTCGCAGAGGATTCTGCCTGATTTCCTTCCTTTTAAACGTGTTGAAGTACTCTATACAGCCAACGATATGGTATATTTTGACATGTGTAATACCCTCACTTAATTCTTTACTTAGGTATTATTAACTCTCAAGGATTACCCCTCCCCACATACCTCCTGTCAGTGCCTCTAAATTACTCCTATTTAAACATACATTTCCCTTTAACAATTCACAAAACACTCCCAGGAGTCAAGAACCTAAAATAGTTCCCTACTATCTCAATGCTAAATCTAAGTGTGTCTGCCTAGCTTCTAGTCTAGAGACTGTCATCATCTGGAATCTTCTCTAATTCCCATTCCTATATCTTAGCTCAAGATGATTCCTAGGCCTGAAAAGATCCTGCCTTCCTCTATCCGAAACACTTTCCTTCCATCCTTTTTTCTTCCTTCCAAGCCTAGCTCAAGTTTTACTTCTTCCATGAAAACTTCAATGGCTCTTCTGATGATGCCCAGGGATTTTTTTCCCCTTCCCTGAAATCCCAAGCATATCATATTAGTCACATATATAAGATTCTTTCAACATATATTAAGCTTCTATACTTATCCCTCACACTATTCCAAGAAGACTTAAAACTACTACAATCTATATTCCAGTCACTATTCATTATTTAATAATAGTACATTTTTTGCTTTTACAAATATTTCTCCAAGGGCCAGAGATATAGCTCAGTGGCGTTATGCCTGCCTGGCAAGCGCAAGGTCCTGAGTTTGATCCCCAATAATGGGGAAAAAAAATTTTTTTCTCCAAAATAAAATATAGCAGCATCCATATAGGTTAGTTTTGGTTGGTTTGTTTGTTTGTTTTTGCATTATTTGGGACTGAACTCAAGGCCTCTGCATTGAGCTCTATATTACCAGCTCTTCTTTTGTTTTTTTTCTTTTTGAGACAGTGTCTAACCTAGTTGTCCAGGCTGGGCTTGAACTTGCAATCCTCCTGCCTCAGTTTCCCAGAGTGCTGGGATCACAGAAGTTCTCCACCATACCCAGCTATAAGTTAGATTTATGTAAGTAAAGGCCTATCTATGTTACTGGTATATTCATGACATAATTGGATTTTTCTGGACATTTCAACTTTTGCTTTTCCTTGACAATCATACTGACAATTATAGCAATCATTTAATTAGCACTATTGTAATACACACATATATATATTGTCATTTATCCATTCAACAGCCTTATAAGGGAAATACAATGATCCTGACTTTATAATCAAGGAAATAAAGTTTAGTGTTTGCCTGGGGTCACATAACTGGCACAATCAAGTTCAAATTCAGATCTTATTAACTACAAAATTTCTGCTTTTTAACCACTAGGAAAATAATAAAAGCATTGCTTTTCCTAATAGCACCTGATTCCATGCTGCCAGTTTAATTTAACTAGTATTTTAGAGTATATCCCAGCACCATACTAGGTATTTGAAGATAATCTAAAAAACAGTCAACAAGACAATACTGAGACTATTCATATCTGCAAGCAGCTTAATAAACTAATGTCTGCAAAATAGATAATTCTAATTTATAAATGAAACTGTGAATTCTTTGGGGGTAGGATCCCTAGCTTTAATGTATTGCTACACAATCTTCTCTACATTTGTTTCTTGTGTTACTAAAGAGAATTACAAATGTGACAACAGGGCACACTATAAATTTATATCTGTCAGCAGTCTCTGACCACTGCTCATCAATACTTCATTTTTTTGTTGGTTCCATCATACTTTCCCTATAATAACCATGTTCCCATGTTATAATACAGTCCCTCTTTTTACCCCCTCACAAAATAGCTACACTTCCCATGTGACAAAAATGGAGACAAACCACATGACTCCCCACAGCTACATGAAAATAAGAAAATCTTCAATAGCACAACAAACCTATTAAGAGATTGAGTATCATTTTAAAAATGGATTCACAGATGACATGGTCCCATATGTCATTTACTTAAAGCATTCCATTTACTCATTACAGGAATCTCAGGCAAAAGGTTCTGTCAACAACAAATAATAGCATCTTAAAGTCGTATCTTTACAGAACATGGAAATTAATCCTTTTTGAACAGACTCATCAAAACGTTCTGAGCAATTTTTACATAGTATTTTTTTAGCTGGCCTAACCAAATCTATATAGAACCTTTTCAATCTTGGAAATAACTATTCTCTTTGTAAGGCATTTTTGAAAAGTTAAATTCAAAAACAAAAAATCTCAAAATAATTTTTCTGCCATTAAAAGTGTTTCATTGACGCTGGATGTGGTAAACCATGCCTATAATCCCAGTACTCTGGGAGTCCAATGCAGGGAGAATCACAAACTCAAGCCGAGCCTGGGCAACTCAGCAAGACCTTGCCTTAAAACTAAAAAAAAAAAAAAAACCGTTTAAAAGGGGCTGGAGACATAGCTAAGTGCTAAGGCCTTCAGTTCAACCCCCAATACTGGAAGAAGAAAAGAGAAAAAAATTTCACTGGCTCAGAGGTTTTTTGTGGCTTTTTTGGTTCATGTGAACTTCATGCTATTTTTTGTATGAAAACGAGTCAGTGTGTGTGTGTTCTCACACTAAAAAGAGTTCATTTAGTTTTCACGTAAGAGTCAGTAATTTCAATCATTACCCAAACTGACATGAAAAAGGTGCTGGATGTACCATTATCTAACTCCCAAGGCTGTATACTCACTCTCAGAAACAAAAGACAAAATAAAACACACACATACACAGACAAAAGAAAGCTGGATGATTAATCACTGTATACGCCTGAATGGGGTTTTTTGTTGTTGTTACTATCACTCACTGGTTTTTTGAGGAGGTAAACCCAGAGCTACATGCATGCTGTGCTGGTGCTCTATTACTGAGCTACACCCAAGCCCAAAATGTCTGTTCTCTTAAATATGATTTTGTTAATTTATTTTTGAACTACCAACTGTTTTCTACAGTGGCTACATCATTTTAAATTCTCACTAGTACCATAAGGGTTCTAATGCATCCAAACGCAAGCCCAGTTAAATTTTTCTCTCATATATTTTATCAGTGCATGTTAATATTACAAGATTATTTTGGGAAGGTGGTACATTTAACATATGTTAATCAAGTTCAATCCCCTTGCCTTCCTCTCTCTTTCCTCCCCCCTTATCCCTGGTCTTTTTCTTTCTTTCCATATGTTTCTCATATAAAGGAATACATGTGATATTTAACTTTCTGGGTCTGGCTAATTTCAGTCACTGGATGGCTTCTAGCTCCATTAGTTTTACTGTAAATGGCATGATTTTATTGTATATATACCACATTTTCTTTATACATTCATCTCCTGATAAGCATCTAGTCTCTTTCTATAGCTTAGCTATTGTGAATTGTGCTGCTAGAAACATGGGTATGCATATATCAATTGAGTACACAGTCCTTAAGTCTTTCAGGAACATGCCTGCAAGTCATATAACTGGGTCAACTAATATTTCTATGTTTAGTCTTTTGGGGAATCTCTATAACGACTTCCATAGCAGTTTCGCTAGTTTACATTCCCACCAACAATGTACAAGGGTTCCTTTTTCCCTCCACATTCCCTTCAGCATACCCTGTTTTTCTTTTCTTGATGATAGCAGTTCTGACTGTGGTGAGATAGAATCTCAATTTAGCTTTAATCTAACATTACTCTGATCACCAGAGAGGTTGAACATTTTTTTCATATGCTTTTTGGCCATTTGAACTTTTTCCCCATGTTTTTACTGGATTCGCTGTTTTATGGGAGTTAAGTTATTTTTATGTTCCACATATTAATCCTCTATTAGAGGAGTAGCTAGCAAAGATTTTCTCGCATTTAGTGAACTTTTTCACTTACCCATAAAAGAAGAAACACAAACTAAAAGGGCAGATTTTTTCTTTTAAACTGATAATTCATTTGTGTGTGTATGTGTGCAAAGGTAAACAGTTTAAATATAACTGCCTATTCCTGACAGAGGAAGGTCTAAAGTTAAACTGTGAATTTCACAAAATTCTGTCACTGTTCCCAGAAACACTGTGCATTAGTGACCAATTAACCTGTCTCCAAAAATCTACAGTAATCCCAGTCAGAGAAGCTGACACCCCTCTAGGCCTGGGCATTCTCATCCTAACAAATCACACACAGTTTCTCTAGCTGATCTACCGTAATGTGAGATTTTTCATCCACGCCACACTCCATTTTGAGCAAGCCCATCTGGACAGATCTCCCTCTGGGCTTTCCTACATAACCATGGTGATGAAGGCAACAGGAGGAGGAGTAGAAATCAGGAATGACAAGAATTACCCACACACTTGTGCCTGTAGTGCACTAGGCATTTCCTCCATGCTATCTCATTTGATCCTTAAAATTCTATACAGAGGGAATTCTGTGCCATTTTACAGCTAAGAAGTTGGAAGCTTGGAGAAGATGCGTGCCAAAAATGGCATAAATATTACGATGAAAACTATGAACTCAGACCTTTCTCCTACATCCTATATTCACTAAGACAAGCAACTGGGAATTGTCTTGCACAACTAGGTTTTTGGAGTCATCAGTTACTTCTTTGGGAAGCCAAAAAAATGACTTATTATTCACTTATAGCAAAACTAAGTCATCATTAAAATGAAAAAGCCCAGGCCTAGAAATGTGTCAACTTATCTGACTACTTAAGAGACATTTCTTAAAGATTAGAGAAAAGCATCTGATCTGCAATAGTGTAAGAAGTCAAATGTTACCAGATGACTCAGCCAAGGAATCATTTAGAGGATAAAGTGTCCAAAGAATTAAAAATGTTGAACTGGCTTTAAAGATTAAAGGACATGTTAATCAGTGTTAAAGGCCTGGACAACTCCTCAGTCACTAAGAAAGAAACTCAGTAAACTACATGAGAAAAATATAACATTTTCTTCTAGATTAAGACATAGAAATAATCGACAGCTGCAACTTTAGGCCAAAGAAGACCAAAGCATCTAGCTACAAAGTAGTGACCACCACACGGATTGTACAATATGTAATAGCAGAGTTCATGAATAATTTTACCACTAGCAGACTAGTATTTGTCTCTAAAAAGATAGATAATGAAAAGAAATATATTAATCCCATTCACAAAATAGTATCTGGCACTTTTACAAAGCCTGGATATACCTTCAAGGAAACCAAGGACAAGAAACTTTATACAAAAACCTCAGCCCAGAACCAGGACTGCATGTACTTAGTGGAAGGAAGAAGAACTACAACAGAAAAAAAGGAAGTTCAAAAGAAAACCAGCCAACCAAACCTACTGATGGAGACAGAGGAAATACCCGCTTAGCTGTACTCAGTGTCACACCCAGACATTGGGGCATCCAGACAAATGGCTCCCACTCTACACAAGGGACAAAATCAGAAACTGGAGTTTCTTCCATAGCAATGAAAGGGGAAAGAAAAACAAAATAATGTAAGCAGGTTTTTAATGGCTCACTTTTAATAACCTATAGGTTAAAGACTTCTTCAAACGTTTCCTATAAGTAGTGAGGAATGCTAAATCTGTTGGGTGATTTAAAGACCACGTATGTAATTGTTTTGGTTTTCTCTCCTCTGGTGCTGCTTCTTCTCCCTCATTTTGTTTACCAGTTTATTCAGATACAATGTATAAGACAGCCCTGTTCTATTATCATCCCAGTGGCATTAGACCACATTAACATTCAAAACTTTCATCCCTAAAAAGATTCTCCCCATGTAACTGGTAATTCCTATGCAATTTACAGCAACAGTTCACAATATTAATACCTCTACCTCACATTTTCCTAAATGAAACATTTTCATATCCGTGATCACCATTTATGCTCACAACACGTAACCTGGCAGAAGCTGAGAGCAAATGCCCTCTCGCTCCCATGTTAAAAACAGACACAGTGACATCGAAATGTGGAGGAGCCAGGGCCAGGACACCTAAAACACAAACAGGTATGGACAGGGAGCTCCAGCTCCTAGCCCGCATTCCAGATGGACAGCATTTTGCAGGTAACTGTAATATTTCTTCAAACACATGTGAGTGACAAAGTTTCCTAAGAAACAGTGGACTGCTTTAAATATATTACAAATAGACTCACCTCAAAAGTGAAGACAAGATCCAATTCATATGTTTCCACTGCTATAGGGAACAGAGAAAAGCAGTCCAATAAGGGATATATTATAGGTGGCCTGCATGCAAAAATAAATGATAAAGGTGAAATATTCATTTGCATATTCATTTACAACCAACAATTCCTTTTGTGTAATAAGGTTTCGTTTCCTTTTACTTATACTTGTCTTCCTTTTATCTAGATTCAAAATTCTAAGAATGGAAAAGTATTGCTGATTTAATCCTTTCAATAACTTCTTTCACTTTTTTTTTGTTTGAATAGGGATCTCACTATGTAACTCCAGCTGATCTCCAACTAGAGACCTTCTTGCCTCAGCCTCCCAAGTACTGGGACTGGAGCCATGTGCCAACACATCCAGCTCTTTTTAGTTACTCTGAGAAGTATTGAACAAGGTAAAATTCTACGATTTAAAGTAGAATTTGAATCCATATCTAATACTACTTGCCTCAAAGGTTCTTTATTTTGTATCCTTTTAGTAACTTCTTCTAAAGCTGTAGTAACTTCTTTTTCACTTAAGTCTAGTAGCAGTGAAAATGGACTTTGGAATAAAGGGGTTCCAGATTTGAATCCCAACTCTATGTACAGCTGACATAAGGAAATATTTAAGATGAGCATTTCATCCCTCCATATCAGTCTTCACAGAGGAGAACATCACTCGCCTAAAGTGATGTGTGACAACTTCAGCAATGTCACTAAGTAAATTTAAAAGTTATATGGCTAAGTAAGTGTTGCACAGTCTATGTGTTAAACATTTATATTTTACTCAAAAAAATAACCTCAAGCTTGGTTTAGATATTCTTCAATCTTTTTAAAGTTCTAACATGTCAGTAATCAAATCAATCTACTGTAAGTAAAAAGCATTAAACTTGAAGCTAGGAAACCAGAGTTGCTAGATGGAGCAAAAAGAAAGAACAGTACAAAGATGTTGGTAGGTCATAATAACAGGGGAAAAATAAGATGTAAGATGCAAAGAAAAAAATTATAAAGCAACTTGAGAATATACAATATAAAACCATACAACTAAGACTGTCCTTAGCCTCCATGTATACACTGTATTGTTACTCAGGCAAATAGTATGCATAATTATTAATTTATATACTGTTTTAAAAGGCTGGAAAGTACTCGGTGCTTATCAGAAAAATTAAAATCCCAGGCAAGGCTTGTAGCTCAATGGTACTGCATTTGCTTAGCATGCATGAGGACCTGGGTTCAATCCCCAGCACTGTCAAAAAAAAAAAAATCTTATTAACCTAAATCATTAAAAAAATTAAAATCATCATATTTACAGGGATGTACTTTAACCCATGAAGACATAGCTAGGAAATTCACTTGTTGGTGATCCTGAAAAGTATATTACCAGGCAAACCTGAAAAATGAGATATTAGCATATTTAATGGAACAAAAACATCAGAAGCTTAAGCCTAAAAACAGTAGTAGACAGTGTATTAAACACAAAAGTATAAAGTAAGTCTCTTCCTTCAAAGAGCTCACAGCTCAATAGAAAACACTACCATACATAGAAATAAGTGTTAAGACTATTTGGCATTATAAAAGAGGTACCAGCAAAAGAAAAATGTTTCCTTTTTTCTCCTTTTATGGCTTTGTCAGCTACTCACTGCTTAGACATTTCCAGTCAGTAGGGGTTGCAAAATGAGACGCGAAGAAGGCTAAAACACATGAAATAGATGACAGAAATGTACACAAAAAATAGAACTCTGTAACAAGGATAAAAATAAGCATCAGCAGTTTCCTCTCCCCCCTTCCTTTTCTACAAAGAAAGGTAATGACAACAGCGACGGCTCTCTGAGAGTGCCTGATGTATAAGAGCTCCTCTTGGCCTCGAAAAGACCCGAGGGTAGGGGTGGGGATTATTATCCCAATGGGACAGATGAGAAAATGCAGGCACAAGGACATTAAGTAATGTGCCCAAAGTGGCACTAGTACATGAAAACCCAAAGCTTGAAAACAGGGAGTCTGGCTTCAGAGCTCATACTCAGTAGTGCATTCCTAAGGTTTAACTAAATATCTAAGATAACTCAGTATCTAAGAAATATCTAAATAATCAAAAATTTCCCAGTGACTCCTATCACTAAAAACTCAGAAACTGAGACGCAAATGCATACCCAGTCTTCCTTTTTATAAGCTGTACAGTTACCTAACCAAATTGGAAATTAAAGTTAAGGTTTTTTTTTAAGGAAACACTCCATACAGTGAGAGGAGATAAAAATGACAACTACCACACCAGTTTACAACCCCTAGCAGTAGTGGTGAACCTATGGCATGCATGCTGCAGCAGGTTGTTTGTAACACTGAAAGCTCTAAAAGATTCGCCATTACTGCCTTCATAAATCAAAGTATTGAGGCATAATAACAGCTAGCATCAAACAAAGAAAAACACATATTATATGTTTGCTTAGGGAAGAAGAAATACCACCCATATAATTAGGAAGTAAGGAGGCAGAAGGAAAGAAGACAAGAAAGAAGACAAAGAAGGAAAGATAGGGGGAAAAAAACTATAGGTTTCATTTCTCGATATTTCTATCACTTTATTAGAAAGTACACAGTACAGAGGGACATGTTAAGCTGCTACAGAGGTGATCAGCAGTATCTAGCTGTAGGAAACTCCACAGGGCAAATGAACCAGTTTCTTCATCAAATAAACTGCAAGGAGAATAAAAGATGAAAAGGAATGTCTATATATTAAAAGACATTAAAAACATATTAATGAGTCATAGCAAACATTATTTGGACTCTCAAAATGTAAAATGAAAAGATTTTGATGAACTACTGGAAGCTGAACATTAACTGAATACTCAATAATATTAAGAAATTTCTAATGTATAGTTTCAGGTATGATAATGAAATTATGACTAAGCCTCTTAAACATATTTTTATCTTTTACAATAAAATATGGTGACATATTTACCAAAAAATGCTATGTCTGAGATTTGCTTTATTTAACAAGGGAAAAAGGAAAATGAAGATATAAATAAAACATGACTAGCAAAGGGTTAAATACCGTTGTAGCTCAATATGGTTACATGAGAGCTCATTATACTACTTGGTCTACTTTGTATATGTAAAGCTTTCCACAACACAATTTTTTTAAACAAAGAAATAGAGTACATAAAAAATGGTACCTCAAATATTAGAAGCTGCTTTTAAGAACAATTTAAAATTTAACTGCACCTTCCTGTAAGAATTGCTTTGACTAAATAATATTAACTAATGTTTCAACTACTAGATACTTTTCTCAATAGTTACCTAAAATGTTACATTTTATTTGTAAGTAACAGCCAATCTATTATTAAGCAATTCCAGTAGAGTCAAAACAGAATTTCTTTGAAAAGAAAAATGGTGACTATTTAAAACTATTAGCAAGTTGCCAAATTTTAGTGTTTTCATTTTTCTTTACTTTCAAAGTTTTTTATTCACTTTCCACTGACACTGGAAAGACATGATGTGCTAAATGGTAAATTGAGGCTTACGTTTTCAAGTCTGGTAATGTATTTGTAGTTTAAATTATTACATTATGACTGTTACATGAGAATGTTGTATTCATCGCAAAAAGGTGAAGAGAAGAAAGGTTCTGAATTTCAGCTTTGGATCTAACACTTATTAGCTTTTGATTAGCTCAAGAAAGTATTAGTTCCTTCAACTACAAAATAATGAAAAGAGTTTCCTCTACATGATAGTGTCATTATGTACACAGAGATTTCAAAGATTTTAATCTTTTATTTAAACTATGAAGTATATATGTCTCCCAGCATTGCTCCTGGTAAAAGGTATCTAATATATAACAGTAAATATTCTAATTGTCAACATCTATTCATGATTCTGCTAGTTAACATTATTTTTGTGCTAGCTAATATTAGGCTCACTTCTCAAATGCCACCAATATTCCCCATGGGTGTAAATGATCACTTTAAAACAGAACCACTCTAATGGGCTAAGAAGGCCTTTTGTGCATTGCAGCTCTGAATAGACTTTACATAATCACCATTTTGCCTATAACTCCTTTTTCCCTCAGCTGTAAAGTTTGCAAATAAATAATATTCTCAGAAAAGTTCAAAAGTAGAGGGGTTTTTTGGTTCAATATCTAAATTTTCATTTTGAATGCTTGGTATTTGAAGGATCAAACTACACTAAATGATAAGTGCTTCTACTATAAGAAAATTTTACCATTGGCAATAAAGTATCAACAAAGAACAGCCTGCTTCTTTCCAATTCACTTGATGCCCAAGGGCATTTTGCATGTATCTTAAAGCATTTATAGTGTGGTATCAGTCTTCCGCTTACATATTTTGTCTCATAATTGAATATAAGTTCCAAAAGGACAGAGACAGCTTATTTTCTTGAAACATCAACACCTGCAAAGTGCCCAGCAGGAGCAGGTGCTTAATAAATGCCGAATCCAAATGTGAGCACACATCTTCACTCACGGACTTCTGGATCAAACCTGCTATGGACTGGATATCATTCAAGTGCATCCCCCAAAGGTTTGTGGCTTGGGAGCTGGATCCTCAGGGCAGCAGTACTGAGAGGTGGTGAACCTTCAAGAGTGGAAGGTAGTTAGGGCCCAGGGCGGGGGAGCTTCAGAAGGGCTGAGTACTGGTCTACAGAGTGAGCCAGCTGTTCTGACTCTCTCTGGCACCCTGTCTCCAACCAAGGGAGAATGTCATCACTGTCCCACATGCTCCCACCATAGTGATGCCATCTGCCTAGAGCCCTCACTAAAGGCTGAATGTAGAGGCCATTGGATCTTGAACTTTCCACCTCCAAAACTATAAGCTAAATAAACTTCTTTTCTTTACAAAGTATCTAGTCTCGGGTACTTTTTTATAGCGCCAGAAGACAGGGTAATACAAAATCATTACCTACACCACAGTGGAGCCGGGTCTACCAAATCTCAGACCAAAATCTCAAGAGACTTCTACCTGGGCCTTATCCATACTAGTTAGTCACAGAGGGTGCATCTGCAGATCACTCTTACTCAGCTCAGACCATGCCTGGGATACTCTTCAAAGCCTCAATAATAGCTAACACCTGTCAGCACTC